GAAAGGGCTCCAGTGAGAATTAAGATCAGGTGTTTATGGTCCTAAATGTGGCACCTACAAGCAGCTGGACAATATGACGGGGGAAGGATTAACTGCTTGTTTTGGAGAGAGTCAGCAACAGGCTCAAGCACATAGGCTGCTTCTCATTTCAAAGATATGCTGACCCTTTCCTCGGCCTTCTTGATTTACATCATACGCCCTTACGTTGCTTTCGAAACTGCCCCTTACTAAAAAAAAATCTTCAATTAATAGCTTAAAGGAAACGCTTCTTAGCGTGAAAAAAATTACAACTTACTTCAGCTATTAAGCCCAGCATTTAGTTCACACTAATGCTCTAAACAGGAAAAGTAAAAACGCGAAAGACTACATACTGCTTTGACCCCGGTAATGCTGAAACAGTTTAACCATACAAAAGACCGCTCAGTAAGCGAAGTATCAGCAGGCTTGCAAGCATGAAGTATACTCACTGAAAGGCAGGTTCTCCAGAAAATTATAGCAAGCGTGGCAATTCCCACTAAGGCAGTGATAATAATGGGCTCCCATGGAAGTCCATGGAAATCAGGCCCAGGACGAATTTCCTCAGGCAGGGTAGCAACCAACTGAAAACCAACAACATTGACAACTATGAATACGTTTTTATTAAACAGTCAGGCAAAATAAGCACTCTGCCAAATGCTTTTATTCCTCTCATAAAACCCGAGAACCATCTAGAGCTTTCTTGCAGTTTTCCTGTAAACCGAAAACCAAAAATCAAGAAAACCACAAAGCAGCATGATGCTTGCATTCCAAGTCAAAAGTCTGAGTACCTGGAAGACACCCGACAGTAACAATCTGCTGGCAAAGAACAGCTACGCCAAAATAAGCTGATACACACAATTTGTGTTACACAGCACTAGCAGTTATTTGGTCCGTTTCCAAATAAAGCTATAAGGATGGAAAAATATAGAAAAAACCCCAAACAGCTCTACATCTGGACATTCGTAACAATCCAGTAAAAACAGCTCAGATCTGTTCCTCGCTGTCACCCTGGTCACAGGGTCATATGTCATGTGTCTCATCATACGTCTCTCTGAAGGCCATAGAGCACCAACTGCCTGAAAAAGGTGTGAATACCTGGTACAGTTTACGGGGCTGATACAGACATGGCGCTCGGAAAATAAACTGTGCAAACTGTGCAAGCCACACAGAAACCCCTGCCTTTTCCCTGGCCGCAACCGACAGAAGCGTGAAATTAAAATGAGGGTGCACACTTCCCCCTGCAAAGCCCAGCCTAGGGGCGAGCGGGTGTCTTCGCAGGCCCCCTCTGCCCCCAAGCGCCGGGGAGCGGCGAGAGGCCGGGCAGCGATCCCTACCCCTGTTGACGCCAGCAGACGCCTCCGTTCCCGCGGGATTGCCCCACATCGCGGGGCGGGGGTGAGGAAAAACAGCCCTTTCACGAAGGGAGCGGCGCAGGTGTACGGCGGGGTGACCCCCCTCTCAGGGGCGCGGAGCAACACCCGCCCTGGCCCGTCTCCCTCGGGGCG